CTTTCACATACATACATAATAACATCATATTTATACCAAATACACAAAATTTCAAATACATACACAAAATTCACATACATATATCAAATAGACACATATACCACATATACACCAAATACATATATTTTCACATACAGACACCAAATTAAAATACATATACCAAATACACATATATTTTGCAATTAATATCCAAAATCATAGTAAGTAGAACATGTGGTGGCCAGAAATCAGTAGTTGGTGCAAGGGTGTTGCTATTGGTACCATGTAGTAGGGTAATTATGTGTTTGACGTACATTTTTATTATCATTATTTTTGACATTGTTAGAGTCATTATTCTCTTTTACATTTTAATTAATAATTAGAACGAAACTATGTTAATTTGATTACTACTTTCATTATTTACATAATTTACCTTTAAGTTTGAGAAAGTTTCATGTTCAAATTTTTTGTTTTTACTATTCTTTATTAATTCATCAATAATTAACATTTTATTTTTATATTCAATATTTATTTTGGTTAATTGACATCCAACATTTCTATTGAAAGATACGATTTAAGTTCTTTTGGTTATATATATATATATATATATATATATATATATATATATATATATATATATATATGGAGCAAAAAGAAAAAAAATTAATTTATAATTGATATTGACTCGTACTTTAGATGTATTTTCTACATTTTGCTTTTTTTTAATTCATATAATTAACAATTTATTGCCCCCGATTAATCATCATCTGGTCGATTAATCCGTTAATCTTAGTCTACCGACTGGTTAACGTCGAGCGTGGATTAAGGAAACATTAATTATCATTAACTTTATACAATAAAATAACAGTTTTGTCCTTATTTTGCATTTAATGTTCCATTAAATGTTTAGTTGGTTAAGTAATAATGAGGGAGTATTTTGGTAAAATTTTTATTTATTTTTAGAAGTGGACTATTATTTTGAGACAAACCAAAAAGGAAAAACAGACTTTAATTTTGGGACGGAGGGAGTATTATACATGATATGTCATGTAGTAGAAAGACTTAATTTATAGATAATGTATATTAAACTGTTACATTTAGAGTCTTTTTGTTATTATTTATGTTAAATAATATCGTTTATATTCAGTAATTTAAAGATTTAGGATATAAAATAATATGTAAAATAATATTATACATGTAATTATTTTTATTTTGATTAATATAAAGGGTGAGAATATAAATTCATATGTAAAATAAAGGAATATATATATATATATATATATATATATATATATATATATATATATATATATATAATCAATGGATTGTTTGTATTTAAAAATATAAAAGATTAAAAAAAACATATTACATAAGGGTAGGGCTGTAAACGAACTGAACGTTCGGCGAACCGTTCGGCGGGAAGTTCGTTTATGTTCGTTTATTTAATAAATGAACAAACATGAACACAAATTCTCGTTCGTTTAGTTAAACGAACGAACATAAACAATTGTCTCGTTCATGAACGTTCGTTTATGTTGTTCGTTTATGTTTGTTTATGTTCGTTCGTTTAAGTTTTTTTATGTTCATATATTTTCAGTTGTTTTTTTATTACATTACTATATTATAGTTCGTTTATGTTCAATTGTGTTTGTTTATCTTTGTTCGTTTATGTTCGTTTAGCATGTTCACGAACATAAACAAACGAACATTAACAATGCAATTTGTCAAACGAACGAACATGAACAAAAAAACTCCGTTCGTTTATCTGTTCGTGTTCGTTCAATTGTTCGGCTAACTTAATTGAACGAACATGAGCAAGCCTTGTTCATGTTCGTTCGGTTCGTTTACAGCCCTACATAAGGGGCCATAAACGTAAAATTTGTTTACATGGTGGGTGGTACGTCCCAATGATTAGAGTAGCCAAGTCAAAGTGGTTTTGACTTTGGTTTTTACCTCAACATAGTGCAATCATTGTAAAATAGTGTGTGGTTAAAATCCCCCTTGGTACAGTGGTGGTGGTGGTAGTCATCGCCGGTGACAGCAACAATCGGCGGTAGCAGCGATAACAGTGGAGGAAAAAACTTTTTGAAACAAATTTTTGCAACTAATCACATATACAAGTGGAAATCGACATTAAAATAGAAGGAAAATGAGAAATGAGGAAGGAAAACACGAACCTTGGAGGAAATCGACAGCAACAACACTGTAATTTCTGTGACATTCGAAATGGGGAGTTTCTGGTGGCCTAAAGGCATCGTCGGTATCTCTTCTAACCTTGCAATGATCGTCAGAGAGCAGATGGAAAAAACGGACACAAATGAGAGTTGAAAGTAGAAAGACGAGGTCGCTATTTGGTTATCTGCGTCGATCAATAGTGGAGACAACAAAACCTTTAGCGGTGACAATAACCAATAGCGGCGACTTATACGGAGGGAACTTATGTCGTGTTTTTTTTTCGACCTTTAGCGGCAACTTTTTGTTGCTGATATTGGGTTTTTGCGAAAACGAGACCCTAACTATTGGATTAGATACTCGATCGAACGGTTAGGGTTTACCAGAAGGGGATAACACGGATTCGGTCTACAAGGCATTACCAGTGACGCCTTTAGCGCGAAAAATTGTTGAGTTGCCATTAAAGGTCTTTATCGCCGCTAAAGGCGTCGCCGTCATTTCTTGTAGTGTCATTAAAACCGAGAAGTGTCACTAAAAAGTTTTATTGGGAGCGTTTTCAGCGATACTTTTTATTTGTACCGTTGATTTCTCTAAGAAACCATTACTGACACTTTTTTCGGTTTTTAGTAACATTTTTTCTATGCCACAAAAAGTTATTTTCTTTGTAATGTATGCACAAGCATGTGTGTGTATATATACACACACACACACATACAACATACATATACACATACAACATATAGACCAATGTTGTCAAAATCGCGATCTTGATCGTAGGAACGTATGGTTGTACGATCCTATGTATGATAAACGATTTGGATCGTATACGGATCATATATGGGGTAGAATCGCAAGTAGGATTGTAAGATCGTAGGTAGGGTCGTAGAATCGAGATCCGATCCGATCCTACCCTCCCTTGATTTTTTATTTGAAAAAAATAAAAAATCAAAAAAAAATTATAAAAAATTGTATTTACCACTTTACGACTTTTACTCTTTACCGGTTTACCGTTTGTCTTTTTTGTTGCAACTAATGTTTAGAAGTTTCTATAGGTTTTGAACGGAAAACTGAATATTGGAGATATTTTTCATGTTTTGAACTTGTAAGTTAAAATTATGTTTTTTTGTGGGATCTTAGGATCCCGATCTCAATCTTGTAAACCTAAAAACAATCCTATATAGGATCTCAAACCTGACAACCTTTACATATACACATAATCGAGTAGACCCTTCACTTTCTATTCTTTATTGCTTTCTTTATTGGTATATATACTATTAATATTTTGTTTTTGTTTTTCTTATCTAAACTAACTAGACACAAAATATAATCGTAATATAACAAACTTATCCATAACCATTATTAGAAAACTGGGTGAATTTACGGAAATTAGTTACGGAATTTTTCCGTCGGAAATTAGTGATGGAATTCCGATGGAATGGTGACAAAAAATAAAAACCCTAATTTTAGTGACGGAATACTGATAAAAAGCGATGGAAATAAATTTCGTCAATAAATCCGTTAGTGATTACCGACGAAATGTAAACGAAATACTAGACTTGAGCCATCCGTTGGTATTCCGTCGGTAATCACCGATGGATTTCCGACGGAAATATTTTTTTAGAAAAAAATCAATTTTTTTTATACTAATATTCTAAAAATAATTCAATTATTATTATTATTATTAGTATGATTAATTGTGTAATTCTTTCTTTCTATAATTAAATTAATATATATATTTACCTAATAATTCAATTTACTAATTATTATAGTATAAGTAATTTTGTTATTACTTATAATTTTGTTATTACTTATAATCATTATGAAAATTATAAATTATAAATTATCAACGTAAATGTTGTTTTAGGAAATAAGTAAACTTTTTTATTAATATTATTAAAAAAATAACTCAATTATTATTAATAATAGTAATTAATTATTAACTTTTATAATTAAAATATTATAATTATCAACCAAATAAATCCAATTTTTTATTAGTATTAGTATATAAAAATAGTTTAATTACTTTTAATATTATTAGTACTTAAATAACTATTTATCTTTTTTATAATAATTACTTTTAATATTATTAGTATTAAATGACCGTTAAAATCCGTCGGAAATCCGTCAAAATATCCGTCGTTAAAAATTACCACTGTGCTTTTTACGACATACCGAATTCCGTCGGAATTCATGTTTAGCGACGGATTTCCAACGGATATAATCGCCAAGTTTTATAGTAGTGAACATAATATAAGAAACTTTGTGTAAGCTAGTTTATATGGTCCGATACCTTCAATAAACTTTAGTTATTCCTTTATGATTGTTACTTTTACTTTCATTAATATGACAATTTATCATCGCTAATATGGGGTCGATGTTTATTGTACTTTTGTAGAACTACAATTGCTTATTTTGTACTTGTCCATCTTTATTTCTGGTCCATCCTTACTCTATATAGCAGCTACTAAACATTGAAGTTATTTCTTGCATGCATGTTCGATCATGTGGTGTCATGTGCACATAGGCAGGCAAAAGCACGTTGGAGTTGGTTTGTGTCACTTGTATCCACTATAACTGAACGCAACGTTTTATGACTTTTATCCACTATATATAGTTGAACAAGAATGGTTTGTTATAAATCATACAATTAGTTCTTGGAACAGTCATACCGACTACATTTCAGTATTAAATAACTATATCATTCACAAATGTGTCTCTTATTATCTATATTGAAAAGAAAGGGAAAAAAAAAAGAAAAGCAAACCATACCAAACAATAAACGAAGGGTAAAACAAAATAAATACAAAGGGCGTAGGTACTTGATCGAAAGAACGAAGGAGGGCGTTGTTTCATGAACACATAGGACAATAAATGAGTCCATTTTCATTGCATTCGGGACACCTTTCTTTTTCTTTCTTATCTCCGACCACAACCTTACAACTCCCTCCGCAGTCCACACAAGGTACGAACCTAGCACCACCGCACCCTTCACAAGCTTGCCTACCCACCTGTTTCTCAATGCCAACTCGACTCAGTATCCTCCTGAGTCGACCCGTCTCGTTCAATCCAACAATCTCATCTACACCCCCTATGTATCTACCCTTAACAAACATCCTCGGGACACTCGCGAACTCACCAAGTAACTCTTTCAACTGAGTCCGGAACTCGCCGTGTAATGATACGTCCCGTTCCTCATACACAAACCCATGGAGCTCCATGATGGATCTGACCTGGTTACAGTCCTCATATGTCCTTCGGATCCCACCCAACGACGTCGTGTAGATAACCACCTTTTCCGACCCTCCCGGTGGACAGATTTCTTGGTAATCCTCAAGTGGGTCCCGCTTAATGAAAAGTGGCGGTAAGCCTTGTTTATCTCTTTCCATCTGATCTCTTAATAAAAACGGGTTTTCTTTCAATGATTTGTATCCGTCTGTCAATGGAGGTTGCATTGATATGGACCCTGTCTCTGATATGGATTTGGTACCCGGATCCGTTCGCCTCAACCGGGAACCAAATTTCGTCAACTCGTTAGACGACTCGGTTTTCTTCAACGTGGATGTTGGTTTGTTTGCGGCCTTTGTGTTCTTTTCGAGTTCTTCAAGTGTGTGGAAAGAGAAGCTCCTGCGTTTAACCTTTTTCGCCGGCATCGGCGTCGGTGCAGGCGATGTTTCGGCTGGGGTTGGAAGAGGCGGTGGAGGTACAGGAGAGTTTAGGGTGGGTTTTAAGTCTTCCAACTCCTTGCTGACTTCATCCCATGACCGCGGAGGATCTTCGTCGTTATCGAGCTTCTCGAGGATCGGGGCCGGCAAGTGAGTGACGGGTTTTTCCGGCTGAGGCTTCCCATCATCCTCTTGTTCTTCTCCTGCTAGCCATGGCTCTTTGATGGCGTGGATGTCGAAAACAGCGAAACTGGTGGAGGCCGGACGGTAAACATCGACAGTTCCGGCCTCAATTTGTTTAGATGAGGCGCAACCCATAATTGTAACTAAATCGAGCTAGGGTTTCAACTGACGAATTGTTTGGAATTTGGGAAGTACTTAGGAGGTTATAGATATAAGGAAGTAAGTTTTGTGGTTCGGAAGAAATTAGGGTTTATCCATTCAGATATTGGGTAGGGGGTGCATGGGGGTATTCTTCGTAATTCTGTAGCGGGCGAGTGTCAGAGTTTTCTGGTGAGGGGCCAGAAATTCGGGTCACTTTGAGTGTGGATTGGAAGCTGACACGTGCTTCCTTATACGCCTCATTCCATTTTCATTTTATTTTGAAGTTCATTTTCCTTTTCTATATATAAACCTGAATTTTAAATCGTCTGCGACTCTGCGTTTTATACGTCACAAAAGTTATCAATGATCTCTATATGTAAATTTATTATTTTGCCTTGCATGATATAATAGGAAAATGAAGATTTAATTATGTTTTATTCTTTCTTTCAATAATCAACTGAAAGCGTTCCCATCGCGTTGCCGGGTTGGAAGGTCATATTTTTTCATCATATTTAATACTCTGATACAAACCAATTTACATCAAAAGCTTCAACTATCTTTGAATCAACATAGTACCAAGTATTTTTCAGTTCCTATTTCCTGCATTTATCCTATTAATTTATTGCCTTAAAGGATTAAAGAACCCATGAAACCATACCTTTGATTATGTCAAATTCAAATTATTTAATTCTGGTTCAAAATATGGATCTACATAAATAAAAACACAAATCATTAGGATTAAAAAAAAAAAGATTCAGTTAAGGGGTAGTTCAAAGCTTCAAGACCTTTTCCGTCAATGATCTATTACTATATCTTCATCATTTTTGTTAATTTCCTCATCATCTTCATTTCAGCTGCTTGTTATAACCTCACCATTATTGCTTGTGGATTCATCCAAATCATCATTCTTCGCGGACTCTTCATTAATCTCAGACTCTTGAGTATGTGTTTCAGGGAGTAGGTTCTGTGTGACCACTTGCAATACTCTTTACATGAGGAATTACCAAAACAGCCTTGTCATTTGTGGTTAAATTCTTTTCCCCTGAATTCAAAGATGAATTGCACTAAGGATAATTAAAAAAAAAAATGTAAGAATCATGGTTTCAGCAGCTATTTCTTGTTGGGTTAATCGGTTTGAAAAACAAATTTTATAGTCAAGGGCAATATAAGAAAGTTACTATATTTTGGTTTAGTTTTATCTCGTAGGTAGGTATTAGAGTTTGAGTAGGTTCATAATCCAATTAGTATATATAGATGTAATAGTTTTAACTTTAAATTTAAGTATCTTATAGAACTTTGTGTGCAAGTCAATAATTTATTTTCCTGTTTTGTTCTTCGTTTCTCCCTAGCACACAAGAAATTGTTGTAGTTTAGTTTCTTACACTTGGTATCAGAGCGGTTTCGTTGAAGGGGTGTGATTCGAGGTTAATTACAATTAACCCTGGTTTTTTGTAATCGGGCTTGTGAGAGACTAACCGGAGGTGCGGAATAAACGGACGGGAAGACGTCAAAGCGGGTGGCTTTGATTTGGTTCGTTTTGCGGGTGACGGAAGACGGTAAAGGTGGCCGTGACCTTGTCTTATTGTCCGGTGGAAGAGTGCTCTCGGAACAAGTTTGATTAAAGAGGTCAGAGTTGTCAAAAATAAAAGGATGTCGTTGGTTAAAGAAGGAGGTTCGATGACGTATCAAGTTCCGGTTTTGACTCCAACGAATTATCCGGTGTGGGCGGTCAAAGTCAAGTCGATTATGGATGCACACGGCATATGGGAGACGGTCGAACCAAAGGCGTTAGATGAAGCATAGGATCAAAAGAAGTCAAAACAAGCTCTTGCCTTTTTGTTTCAAGCGATACCCGAAGACATAGTGTTGCAAATGGCGAGTTATGTTGGAATCTTAAATTCCTTAATACCCTACCAATGTTTTCCACTCCAACAAAGTAAACTTGATTCCTGGAACAAAGTAAGGGACACCAACAAGTGGTTGGGTCTCATGTGTATTAATTATAGGATTAAAATGATTCTATCAATCCTATATATTCAGTGTATTACCAAGAGGGTTAAACACACCAAAAACACAGCAACATACATAGACATATACACATATATATGTAATTGGTTTTGAGTTATATTTCCAATCAATCAAAGAGTTATTTTGATATATATATTTGTCTGTGTCTTTACAATTGCAATATTAGAATTGGTATCAGAGATCAAGAACAGGGGCTTTGAATTCATACCTGGTGATCAAGAAGGACACCAGTAAAAGAAGATGTCAGATGTCGATGATACTGGAGGTGCTACTCCTCAGGTGAGGGAGAAGTTGATCGGTTCATCCAATGTCACATGTCCGATGCTCACACCCACAAATTACACTGTATGGGCGATGAGAATGAAGGTTGTGCTTCGAATCCACAAGGTGTGGATCGTGATCGATCCAGGAACCGACCAAAATGAAGAAAAAGATTGCTTAGCCATGGGACTGCTATATCAATCCTTGCCAGAAAACCTGATAATGCAAATCGGTGAACAAGAATCAGCAAAGAAACTCTGGGATGCAATTAAATCAAGAAACGTGGGGGCTGAAAGAGTGAAAGAAGCAAGGCTACAAACCTTAATGACGGATTTTGATCGGCTCAAGATGACAGAGTCTGAATCGATAGATTCCTACGCCGGAAAGTTGTCCGGTATCGCCTCCAAATCAGCGGCCCTCGGAGAAACGATAGACGAGTCTAAACTCGTCAAGAAGTTCTTGAAAACACTGCCACGATCGAAGTTTATTCAGATCGTCGCCTCGTTGGAGCAGGTACTCGATCTGAAGACGATCAGATTTGAGGATGTTGTAGGTCGACTAAAGGCGTACGAAGAAAGGATAAGAGAAGATGATGGCGGAAACGAGCAGAGGGTTATGTTCACTCGAAGTGGTGAAGGTTCAAACCACGGTGGTGGCTGGAGCGGTGGAGGTGGTTCTGGTTCAGGGGGATCGTCGGGAGGGAAGAAGGAGTCGAATAAGGGAAGAAAAGGGGGTTCGGGGGGTTTTAATCGAACCGGGTCAGGTGGATCCGGTGGAGCCGGGTCTTCAAACGGATCTGGGTCAAAATCAACCCAACCCAATAATAAGCCCAAACAGCCCAATAACCGGCCCAATTCCAATTCGGACTCAAACCGAAACCCGAAAAAAGATCTGTCGAAGATTATATGCTACAGATGTGACAAGTCGGGCCATTACGCATCCAAATGTCCGAAACGAACCCAAAAATTCCAAGAAAGTAATTTTACCGAATATGACGATGCCGATGAAACAATATTTTTACACGAGACCGTATTTTTGAACGAAGAGAAGGTGATACCGTCTCGATACAACTCACAAGAAAACGATGTATGGTATTTGGATAACGGGGCGAGTAATCACATGACGGGAAATCGTTCATTTTTCTCCGAACTCGACGAAGGAATAACCGGAAAGGTTAAATTCGGTGATAATTCGTGTGTCGAAATAAAAGGGAAAGGCTCAATTCTTTTCCAAGGAAAATCGGGGCAGCAACGTTTGATGACAGAAATATATTTTATACCGGATCTGAAAAATAATATTTTCAGTCTCGGTCAAGCAACCGAAGTTGGATGTGATATTCGGATGAAAGACGAATATTTGACGATGCATGATGCCGACAACTGCTTATTAATGAAGGTACAAAGAACTCCAAACCGCCTTTATAAAATAAATTTGACTATTGGAGAACCAATTTGCCTTCATTCAAGACTAAGTGAAGACACGTGGCGCTGGCATGCAAGACTTGGACACATCAATTTCGAGTCAATGAAAAAGATGTCCAAGAAAGGTCTAGTCAAAGGGTTACCCCATTTTGACAGTGAGAATCAATTATGTGAATCTTGTTTGGTGGGCAAGCAAACAAGAAAGTCATTTCCATTAATGACGACGTACAAAGCAACACGACCATTGGAGCTAGTTCACGGTGATTTATGTGGTCCGATAGCACCGTCAACGAAGGGTCAAAATCGATACATTTTCACACTAATTGACGATTTTTCACGGTATATGTGGATTTTTCTCTTAAAAGAGAAAAATGAGGCGTTTTTACACTTCAAAAAATTTAAAGCTTTGGCGGAGAATGAGCTCGGAAAGTCTTTAAAGGTGTTTCGAAGTGATCGAGGAGGTGAGTTTACTTCGCTCGAGTTTAATTCCTTTTGTGATATGAATGGAATCAAACGCCATCTTACCGCCCCATATTCACCACAACAAAACGGTATTGTGGAACGAAGAAACAGAACACTTATGGACATGACACGAAGTATCATGAAGGCGATGCATGTTCCAAACTATCTATGGGGAGAAGCGGTAAAACATTCCACAAACCTGATCAACCGTGTTTACACAAGAGTACTTGGTGATACAACTCCGTACGAGAAGTTGTATAAAAGAAAACCTAATTTGGAGAACGTACGCATCTTTGGGTGTTTAGCGTATGCAAAAGTTGAACCGGTAAACGTGAAAAAATTGGATGCAAGATCAAGACCATTGGTTCATCTTGGTTCTATACCGGGTACAAAAGCCTATCGGTTATTTAACCCGGTTACACAAAAAATAATCGTAAGTCGAGACGTTATTTTTAATGAAACCAAAGGATGGAATTGGGTTAACGAAGCTACACCTGACAATGAAGAACCAGGATCATTCATAGTACCATGGGATTTACCGGAAGATAAGGCAAACAACAACCAAGGAAACGAAGTAAGTAAACAACGAACCAAACGAATCGGATCACGAGATTGAAGACGGAGTGGAGGTACAAGAAAATGAGCAACCAAGTCCGATCAACAACAACGTGAACAATGTTCAAAACCAAAGGCCCACAAGACAAAAGGTGTTCCAATTCGATTACGAGATTATGTACTTTAAGTTGATGAAATTGAAGAACTTCTCCTAGCAACCAATGACGAGCCGGTATCGGTTGAAGAGGCGAAGAAAGAACCAGAGTG